TAGATACAAATTGAAACCTATTATAAAGATATGAGGTAAACCATTGGAGAGAAATTCCTCTAATACCATAGTATTTCAGTTTACTTAGAAGAATAGAATGATCAACAGTGTCAAATGCTTTCTGTAGATCAACAAACACACCACAAGCAAAAAGCTTATTGTCAAGAGCTTTTCTGATAACCTCAGTGTTTTCAATAAGTGCATGAGTTGTGGAATGCTTGCTTCGAAACCCATACTGGTGTTTGTAAAGACATTGATATTTATCTAAAATGTTGTTAAGTCTGTTGTGCATAGCTTTTTAAAATATTTTACTGATGTTTGACAGTAGCAAAATTGGGCAGTGTGTGTAGAGAACTCAGACAGTGTGTGTAGAGACCACACAGTAGTGTGGTCAGTTCTGGAGCCTTTTTTATAAAGTGGAGTAACTTTAGCTATTTTAAAGACATCTGGAAAAAGTCCATTTTCAAAAGAGCTATTTATCATTGTACAGAGAGGCTTTGAGATGATATGGGAAACAAGTTTGAGAAGAAATGTGGGAATACTATTGATACCTAAACTTTTTTTACTTTGTAAACTTTTTATAAGATTTGATACTTCATTTTAAGTGACTGGATCTATAAAAAAGGAGTTAATATTTGGGTTATTTAAATAGTCTGAAAAATTACATTTAGGTGAAACAATTTTTGTTAACAGTGTTTGTTGAGTATTTACAAAGTAATTATTAAATATGTTTGATACAGCTTTGCTATCTGAAATTGTATTGCCATTAAATTTGAGATTAATAGATTTACTGGAAAAGGAAGAAAGTTTGATACTAATAATTTCTTTTATACCTTTCCAAGTATTTTTTACATTGTAAAGATTATTGTTAAAAAAGTTGATGTAATATGATTTTTTAGAAAGTTTTAGTAAATTGCAAATGTTATTTCTGTACCATTTAAATTTATTATAAATATGAATTTTTAATAAATTTAATGTTATGATTTTCTGCTTTTATATATTGTTTATATAGTTTGTTTTTAATAGATATTGATTTTAGAATTTCATTGGTGATCCAAGGTTTTGATTTAAGTTTAATTTGTTTAGCGTTAGTTTTTTATAGGGTGCATGTTGATCAAGAATTTTGTTAAAAGTTTTAAAAAAATAGTGCAATGATTCATTTACATTATTGTTATTTGTAATTTGTATTTGCCAGTCTACATTAGAGATATCCTTAATAAATTTTTTATTATCGAAATTTTGGAAGGTTTGTCTGAATATTACCTCCTTAGTTTTTTTGGGAGAAGGACAAGGAATGCAGGTAAACTGCGCCATATGATCAGAATTCGATATTGCAAGATTGCCTGAAATTAAATCAGGAGTTTGGAAATTTAAAAAGATATTATCAATGAGTGTCTTAGATGTAGCAGCATACGTGTAGGTTGAATTATAGAAGGGAAAAAAGAATAAGAACATATGTATCTAGTTATCTTGATACATAGAATGTATCAAGATAACTAGAGATAACTTTTGATTCATTATAATTTAACAAGTCCATATTGAAATCACCCATAAGGACAACTTGTTTATTTTCTAAACTAAGCCTCTGAAGCAAGGGATTAAAATGATCAGAATGATTTCATTAGAGTTCATTGATGGATGTTGATATATAGTGCCAACAATAATATTTTGTTTTAGGGGATTGACGATTTCAACAAAGATAGATTCCAGGTATTTCAAAGAGTATACTATTAGATCACTACGAATAAAATAGTTTAAGTTTGAGCGTAAATATAGAAGAGCACCACCTTTTTTGGCCTCAGTAGGACTATGCTCAATAGTAAAACCATTTATATTAACATCAGTTTTACTGGAATCGTTAATATTTAGTCTTAATTCTGAGATACCAATTACTATTGAAAGAGTGGTAAGAGAGCTTATTAGACTGTGAAGACTGTCAATGTGATAAGGGAGCGAAGCAATGTTTAGATGTAGGTATAAATTACAATTATTATTATGAACTTTATTAAGTTCAAGAATGTCATAATATTTACAGTTAATACTTTTGTTGGAGATTTTGTTTATATTATTGAATAATTTTTTGAAGTGAGGTGGAGATTTTAAAGTTTTTAAATTATTGGTTGGTATAGTCTGAGACGATAAAGTTAAAGAGAGCTCAAAATCAGAGAGTGAACAAAATGGCAAATTTTTGTTGATGCAGTCACTGCAATACCAGTCAGTAGAATCTTTTTCAATAAGGCTATAGGTGTGTTTGTTAATATAATTACATTTAGGGTGCAACCAAGAAGAGCAGTAATTACATAGAATTCCTTTATGGCTATCAACCAATGTTTTATTGCAGAATTTACAAAGATTTCTTATTAACATGACTTATTATGCTTAAACAAAGTATAGAGAAGAAATAATTAAATAAAGATATCTACTATATATTTATAAAGAAACTGAGAGATTAAAGCTAAGAAATGTTAATCTAGAAATGGTTGTTATTTTAAATATTGAGGAATGATCAGTTATAAAGAAATGATAGTAAGTTATAAGAGATTTAAATACTTTACACAGGAGAATAAGTATTACAGCTAGATAAAATTAGAATATTATTAACTTGATTTAGAATATAAATTTAGATATATTAATACCTCTAGTAGCTTTAGACAGTATAATATAAATAATATATGTTATTTAAATAATTTGATGATAATAAGGTAAGTAATAATAAGTAAAGAAGGAGATAAGTAGTAATATTAGGTAAATAACATTTATATAAGATAAATTATGATGTAAAATGTAATGAGAGGTAAATAATGGATAGATATAGGATAAATAATGCTATATTATTTAATAATAATGATAAATATTTAATTATAATAATAATAACAATGATAACTGCTGATAATAATAATTAAAAGTCAATAATAAAAATAAATCCTGGAAAATACTTAAATTTACAAATAACATTTAAAGCAAAAAATAATCAAAACAAACGTAAAAAAACTCTTGATCTTTTTCTTTCATTAACTTGATTCTTTCTTTACTTTCTCTTAGTTTATTAATTTTGTAATGTATCTTGTTCTTTAATTATATTTATTTGAGTCTATGAAGTTCTTACACATCTTTAAACTTTAAGTACTTTGGTTTTCTAATTGATTTTCCGATATATTTTTTATTTACTTTTGAGTCTTTTTTTTTTTTTTAGTCTTTTTCTTTTTCTATAAATATTTTTTCCTCTTAATTGCTGTCATGTAAAGATATATATTACTTTATTTGATAAACTTTTTCTTCTTATTTACAATTCTATCTATAACTCCGCCATCTTTACCACGCATGCATATCTTATAGAAAATGCTGCTAATATTTGCATTATTATGTTGATTCATAATAAATGTTAAATACTTTAGAGATTAACTAAAAACTTGATGAATATAAAAATATTTCTAATTATTATAGTAGCCTAGTAAAAAATATTTGAACCAGTTTAGGTCAACACCTTTTATCCTATATTTTTTCATTTTCCTAGTTAAGAATATTGCATTCATTATGTTGATTCATAATAAATCTTAAATACTTTAGAGGTTAACTAAAAACTTGATGAATAAAAAAATTTGATGCATGAATAAAAATAGCACTTTGATGATGAGCAGCAAATAAATCAGTCAACATCAGCAACAAAAACAACAACCAAACTTTCTCAGAAGAAGTGTACAGCCAAACACCTTATATGACCATGCATATAATATTTTGTTTTGACAACTTGGCCATGGCTCTCTGCAAGTTTTAAAGATAAACGTGTTTAAAAAATGCACTGAATAAACAAATGTTAACTTGTTTTTAACTAGATAAACAAACCATAAACTAAAAAAAGAGTTAAATACAAAAAAACAAACAAAATCAAACTCAAAAATAAAAATCTTAACGAATGATAAAATAAATTAAAGATAAACTGGAACAGATCAAAGCATAAAATTAATCTCTTTATTTTAATTTAAAAGTGTTTTAGTTCATGAATTATAGAAAGATCTAAGTTTCAAAGTTATTAAATCCAGGCTTAATTACTTCAAAACTTAATTATTTAAAAATTTGAAACTATGGTATTTTCTAATGTCTACTCAACAAATAAAACATTAAAAAAATATTGGTTAAAGGATATGAACCCCTATCTAATGTCAAACTAACAGTCACACCTCATTATTATAATGTTAAGATATTTGTTTTATACAAATCTTCAAAAATTCAAAGTAGTAAATATGATCAGCATCTAAAATTCAAAGTAGTAAATATGACCAGCATCTAAAATTCAAAGTAGTAAATATGACCAGCATCTAAAATTCAAAGTGCTGCACAAGTGCATTGCATTATTAATTGGTTGTTTATTTACTTGTTATTATTGGCTTCTTTTTTTATTAAATGTTTTTTTTAATTACGTGTCGAGTTGCATATTGCTCTTTCTCCCCAAAAGACAGAATGATTTTTTTTTCAATAAAAAACTTGAATTTTTTAAATTTAATTTGTAATTATTAAAATACTCAAAAAGTTAATTTTGAAATAAAATTTGTTAAAAAATCTTTTTCCTGGAAAATTTCAACATTTAAAATTAAAATTTAAATTAATAAAATTTAAAATTAAAATATATCAATTTATTTAATTATTTATGGCATTTTTTTATTCATTTTTAAAAATGTTTTCACTTATTTCATTTTTTGGAAACATAATTTCATTTTTTTAATTTTTTGAACAAAGAAGATAACCTAGTATACAGTTCTGTTTAAGCTTTATAATTTAATGTTTTTGAAAATATGGTTTCAGAATTTACTTTTTTTTAAAATATTGTTTCACCTTTTAAGTTTCACTTTGAATTTTTTAAGTTTCACTTTTTTAAATTATTTAATTATAGATAAATAATTTATTAGTTTTGTTACATAATATTTTTTATTTATAATAATACCATTATATTTAATATTCTTTTTTTTTTTAATATATTTTATATATATTTATAATTTTTAAAGGCTTGAAGAAGAATTAAGACAAAAAAGTCTCAAGCAAAAGGTTCGCCAGGAAAACTTACAAAAAGTATTATTTTAATATTTATAAAATACAATTAAAATATAAATTAAAAAAATATGTTCAGGATATCAGGATAAGTATAATAATAATAAAAAAAATAGAATGTAGAAGTAAAGACATACAAAATCAAATAAGTTTATTGTTAGTAACATATTAACAAGTTGTTAAGCCGTGTAAAAAATGTGAGTTAATATTTTTATGAATAATATTTTTAATGATTGTAGTCATGGCTGATGCGAAAAAAGCAAGATCAAATCATGTTAAAAGTTTGGGAAGCAACACAAAATACTCTGCCTCAGTATCCTATAAAAGAAAAGGTAATTTTAAATTTCTTAGATTAAATTGTTAATAATTATTAAAAAGGAATAATGATTAATAAGAAATGTTTTTTATGATTAGGGATCAGATTATTAAAAATTATTTTTTGGGCGGAGGTACCCCCCATGCTCAAAAAAAAAAAATATTTGTCTTAAAATAAGAAAAGGGTCCTCAATTTCTGAATTTGGACGGCACCCAAATGTCACCTAAATACTTTGCAAATGATGGGAAAAGTTGATCGAAAAAGAATGGAAAAGTATAAATGAAAAATAAAGGATCGTTGAGATTATTTTCTTAATTATATATATTAGTTTCCAATAATAATGACATAAATCTCTGATGTTAAAAAAGAAAAACTTTCACAGATTTTATATTTCTTGCTCATTAAAATCATTTCAAAAACCGCTTATGTTAATTAGTTAATAATAATATTACTAACTCTTGTTTGCAGAACTATTTATACTGAATATTTAATATTTTAAATTGTTTTAAACATTTGTCTTCTTTGTATTAAACAATTTGTTTAATGAAATAAATTTTAAAATACTAAACAATTTGCATGTTACGTTCGTATATACAATTCGTTCGTTAACAAAGCAAATTAATGATTTTAGGGTTGTTAAAGCAGAAAAATTACTGGTTTCTATTATAATGCAATAATTATTAGATAATGGTTTTAACAACGATGAATTTAATATATTCTTGAATATATTATAAGTAGGAGAATTATTGATTAAAATAAATTAATTATTTTTAATTATTGAATTATATTGATATTAGTTAATAAGTTTTTAATTTTTAATTATTGAATTATATTGATAAAAAATAAATTTATTGGAACATTTTTAAAACAAAGATAAAAACCAGCATTGAAAAATAAAAAGATTAAAGAAAAAATTTGCTTTAACTTTTTTTTGCTTTTAAAACCCGCTAGCAGTTAAAGTAGCGTATCATAAACAAGAAAACTATTTTAAACCTTTTTTCAAAATTTAAATAATTTTATAAAACTTTAGTATATGCATTTTCCAAATAACATCCTGATTATTTATCAAAACTTGCTTTTAAATGTCTGATTTTTTTTCAATCGGTCAACCATGACTGGCAAAAATTCATTTTGAGAGGTCAAAATAGCATTTTTAGTCATTTCAGGCGGTCATTGACCGTTGACCGGCTGTTATTTTCCATGCTATATATATATATATATATATATATATATATATATATATACACACACATTAATAATATTAATTATGTTAATTATATACTCTCAGGTGCTTATTACAAGGGGGGAGGGGGGGTCATTAATAAGGGTATGTCTAACATTCCATCTCTCAATCATGGTTATGATCTTATTATCTCTCCCAAGGATAAGGCAGAACTATTTGCTAAGAACTTTTTTAATTTAAAGCTTGAATGTTGTGACCATTCTCTTCCTTCCATTCTGATTAAACAACTTAAACCATTGTTAAATATTCAAATCACTCCAGCTTCCATTGCTAAAGTTATATTACAAGTAAACTCTTCTATAGCTTGTGGTCCAGACAACATTCCTGTCATAATCTTATAAAATTGTTCTCCAGAATTTTATTCAGTTCTCTTTCAACTATTTAATAAGTTCTTGACTGAATCTTGTTTTCCTGCTTGTTAGAAAATTTCATCTGTTGTTCCAATTTTCAAATACTCTAGATAACATTTTGACCCCTTTAATTATTGCTCGATCAGTGTTCTTTCTGTTATTAGCAAGATCTTTAAGTCTTCGATCAACAAATTTCTCACATCTCATCTTGAGTTGAATAACTTACTGTCAGACAATCAATATGGTTTTCAATCCTCTCACTCTACACAGGCTTGGCCAGGAAGGCGTGCAATTTCACATCATAATATGACCACGTAAATACTATTTGATTTTAAAAACCTGACCACAGCTGTTAATATGTTTTAAAAAATTTTTTAACTTAATCTTAACATAACGACCATCGCTCTTTAAAGTTGTCACTTATAAAATTTAATTTTTTTTTCTTTTTAGTTATAAAAAAAATCTTATTAATTAATATAAATAAAAATTTATACAACTTTCAATGTTACTTTAATTAAAATTAATAGCTGCATTATTAAAAAGCGTTTTGCTAATATAAAAACGTTAGTAAAGATAAACGTTTATTTTAAACATAGTTAAATTCATTTTCAATGTAATTAAAAATCGTTTTTTTCAGCGCGTTTGTTAAAAACCATGGTTAAATTGTTGAAACAAAATGTTATTTGCGTGATCATATAAAAGCTTGAAATGCATGCCTTCCTAGCCGAGCCTGGCTCTACAGCTGACTTGCTAACTGCTGTGACTGAAAAATGAAATTTGTGGTGAATTGAAAAATGAAATAAATTATTTAGTCACTCAAAGAGAGATACAATCAAGAATTGTTATTCCAAAAAACAAAAATTTAATATTTTTTTTAAAAACTTACCAAATTATGGATTCGTTTCACTATAGTTGTTTGTTCATCCTTAATTCATTTATACTATATAGTATTTCCTTCATCATTAATTGAAATTCAATGAACTATTAAATGGGTCCCTTGTTGTTTTGTTGTTGTTGTTGTTTTTTTGTTTTAATAATTTTTTTATGAATTTTTTGTTTTTATATTGCTTATACAAATGTAGACTAAAATCAGTCTTTTTAGTTTCAGATAAGTCCTAAGATGGGTAAACAGGAAGAAGTTGTAAATGAAGCTAATGTAACAATTTAATTTTCTGTTTTGTAATATAATAATAACAATAATGATGATAATAATAATGATAATAATAATAATAATAATATATATATATATATATCTATATAAATATATATGTATATATATATGTATACATACATATATATATATATATATATATATATATATATATATATATATATATATATATATATATATATATATATATACATATATATATATATATATATATATATATATATATATATATATATATATATATATATATATATATATATATATATATATATATATATATATATATACATATATATATATATACATACCCCTATAACATTTTTAAGCTTCATTACGTAACGAAACCAGGTTATAATACATGCTAAATATCTGTTAATCATATGTAACGTTATGTATCATTTTTATGTAACAAGACGTAATGTTATGTAACTGTTACGTAACATGTTTACCTAACAAGACATAACGTAAGTACTTTACCTATCAAACGTAACATTTTTATGTAAACATTACGTATCAAATGTGTGTTCTTTTTGCGTGAAAAAAAGTAGCATTTTTAACCTTGCGAGATGTAACACTGTAATGTGTGGTTCTTTACAATTTTTTTAAGTTTTTGCTTTTTGATATTAACATATATACATATGTATTAAAGTATATTTATACATATATATTAGAAGAATAGTAAGTAAATATAATAATAGTAAGATAAAAATACTAATTTAGCAATATAAAACAAGTGTAAAAATAATTGTTTATAGAACTAATTTATACATTACTAAAAACATATAATAGCATACTTTAACACAAAATATGTCTTGACATTTTTATATATGTTTGCTTGTGGATTTATTAAATTTAAAAAAATGTGTAACGTAACGAAGGCCTAACGAAAAACATAATTTTTCTTTGTTAATTTAATTGCAATAGCAAATTTAAACTTTTACATTTTACCTAGTTTTTAGAAATGGATTTAAAAATTTTGATTCTAAAACCCCAGATCACCCTAACCGTAATAATTCACTGATAACGTATATATTTGCTTTGATGTGTCTCCAATTTGAACCATAACTAAAATTTGTCACAAATATATATTTTTTTACGTTACATTAAGCATTTTTGAAACTTGTAAAAATGTAACCAAGTAAGATGTAACGGTAGTGTAAAAAAAATCTTCAACGTTTACTAATTTTTACTTGTTATCAACAAAAAAATTTAATCTCAAGCCTTAAAAAAAAATTCAGTAAAAATCGGCCTTGAAAATTAGAAATAATTATTTCAGTCACCGATAAAAACAAAGTTTCAGTGTAATCAGGTTTTAAAAATCGTCGAACTATAGTAAGTTAACTATTAGTAAATTACTTTAGTAAATTTCTCTTTAAAGTATAAAACTTGTGAGCATAATAAATCCTATAGAAATTATGATAAAACAGCTGTTAGAAAATGTGCATTAGACCACAAGCCACTCTAGAATTGAATAGTTTTAAAACTATTTAACAAGCTTGGCTTGCGATTTAATGCGCATATTCTAACCGCTGTTTTTTTTTTTTATGTTACATTTTTTTTTTTAACTTTCAAAAGTGTAACCTATTGAGACGTAATACAATGTAAAAAAAAATCTGTATTTGATACATATTTTAATTGCACTTTTTTTTATGTTACGTTAGGTCTCAATTAGTTACACTTTTAAATTAAAAAAAAAAAAATGTCAATTGAGACATAACGTAACGGATTGAAACTTTATTTATTTTTCATGACAAAGTAACCAATTGAGACGAAGTTATTTTACAATAAAAAATAAAGTAAAGATGGTAACTAGCAATACAACAATGATAAACTAATATTTACTGTGTTATCAAGTTTATTTAATTAATATTTCATTAAAAATAAGAGAATGAAACCTTATTCCCAATTGTAACCAATTGAGATGTAATGAAACTAGTAAAACGTTATAGAAGATATATATATATATATATATATATATATATATATATATATATATATACATATATATATATATATATACATATATATATATATATATATATATATATATATATATATATATATACATATATATATATATATATATATATATATATATATATATATATATATATATATATATATATATATATATATATATATATATATATATATATATATATATATATATATATATATATATAATTTTTTAAAATAAAATTTCTTATAAGCATATCCTGTTATATAACAATTATAAAAAACAAAAAAAGAATCACATTTGGGAGTAATTACTTAAAATTTTAATGAAATGATTAAATAAAAAAAAATGATTGGCTTAAAAGTACTTGGACAAACTAAATTTCGATTACTTTTAAAAACATTCCATAATCAGTAATTCATAATGTGACATAATAAGTATTTAACAGAGGCTTTAAAAAAGTTAATTATACAAGCATCTAAAAGCGGTGAAGCTGTGCGACAAATTTCAATAGAAAAGAATATGCCACGATCATTAGTTGGCTGAACATTGAAAGTTTTTAATTGAAAGACAAAACAGTTTATTTGGCCGTCGTCTCATTAAAAAACCTATTGTTTCTGCAAAAAATCTTAAGGCACAACTGAAATTTACTACAGAACATTTATATTAGACAGCACAGCACAACTAATCTGAGTGTATTAAATATAAAATTAATTATGCTTGACATCCAGTTGGTCACAGAAATGCATGGTGGTGGCTCAATAATGGTTTGGTCATGTTTTAGCCTTGATGGAGTAGGTCTAATCATCAAATTAAATTTTTTAAGTTCAAATTTAATTTTTTAAATTCAAGTTTTAAGACATTATAGGAAAAGAACATGTGAGTAATCTAGAATAATATAAAATATAAAATAACAGAATAATCAAGGATATAATGCTGCCACATGCAAAGAATAAATGTCACATTGTTGGACTTTCCAACATGACAACAAACAAAAGCAGACATCCAAGCTAGTCACATTTTTTTTGCCCAAAAGAAAGTACGAGCCTTAGAATGGCCAGCACAATTTCCTGTTTTTATGGATCCATACGGTTGATTATATAAAATTTTAATATCAAGTATGCAATACATTTTTGTAAACAAAAATGCAGGCAAAATTGTTTTTAGATTAACTATTTTATTTCAAATTTAATATTTTCTTTTAGATCCTATATGTATTTTCATAGCATAGTCTCATTTGAGCATTTTTGTGTTATAAAAATTGTTTGTGCTAAAAAATTGGCATACCGTTTTTCCCATTTACCCTTTGGTTAAGTCAATATATTGTTTATCAGAGTTATTTAGTGAGAAAATAATGCATTTGTTAATGACATTTTTTGATAAGGATTTTCCAGACAATCAATTTTCTTTTCCATTTACAACTTTCAGTTTTTGTTTTAAAATCTTATTATTTTTTCTATGTTTTTATGTAACCTTTTTTTAATTAGTTTTAATTAATCTAGAACTTTATTCTAGCTGCAAACAATAATAAGGACATTTGTACCCTATAACCACTGTTTCTTCTTTAAGAAAACTTTCTTTTAAACTAGACATCTGTCCAATATCTTTTTAAGTTTAACAACTTACTCTAGCATGATCCTCCTTTTTGCCTAAAGCTTGTATGGTCTTTGGATGTGTTCCAAACAAGTGGTTAGGCATTGTTGTTCTAATTGCAAAAATTTGTTAAAGTATTCATACATTTTTTGTGCAGTTATAGCTTACTTTTATAGTATTTCTGTTAAAATTTTTATGCAAAATATTAAGAGATATGTTTATCTACTAATACAAATATAAAAATAGCAAATTTAAAAAAATTTTATATTTATTGTTTCATTTTGCTGTGGAAATATAAAAATAGATAATTTGGTTGAATCATGAAATTTATTAAACAACTTTTTTTATAGGGCATCTTTGTAAACTAAAGAAATCAAGAAACGTTAAAAAATATATATATTTTTTAAACAAAATCAGTTTAAAATCTGCAGTTAAAAATGCTTTAGAGTAGTTTAAAATATTATTGTTAGAGGAGTTCTGGTTTAGCCTATTGTTAATTGAAATGAAATTTGTATTTTACAGGGTGGCAGTTATTCACAAAAATCATGGAATTTATAGAAATGTCATGGAGCTTTATTTGGTCATAAAAAATTCAAAGAGTTCTTAAATTTTTTGTAAAAGTCATGAAAAATTGGACTTTAACATTTAAAAATGATCATAATTTTTTTCCGATAGTATATTTTCAAAAATATTTGAAAAGAAAATGCGTACAATATCTAGCCTAAAAAATTATCTACCTTTTCAAAAAACATCATTCTATAGGCTATAGACAATATTTTTTTTATTGCCTTTACATTTTACGAATCAAGAAGTATAATTTCCAATTGTATTGTTTTGTCACAAAATAACACTGATTAACAATATATTGGCTTTACCCAAAAGAATGGAAAAAATTATTTGCTAATTGTAACCAAACAATCTTTTAAACACAAAAGATGCCTTAAGAAGACTGTATTGTCAAAATAGATATAGGGTCAAAAAAATATTTTTAAAATTCGCAAAGAAAAGGATCAAAAAATTAAATTGTTTTACATTAAAATAGATATTTTTAATTATAAATCAATATTATCTATAAATTTTAATTTGAGTATTTTATTGTTAAACATTTAATTGTATTTTAAAATTTCATTGTTTATAGAGCATGCATGATAGCATCCAGAAGTTTGAAAAAGATTTTGAAAGTTTTCTTATAACTGACCAACCTGATAAACTAAAGTGATTTTACTGTTTGTTTTTCTTTATAATTCTTCTTCATCTTTAAATTAAGATTTTTTTTTTTAAATTACGATTTTTTAAGGTGCAACTATTAGATTAAGATAATAAATTTTTTTAGATTAAGTTAAGAAATTTTTTTAATGATTTCAAATATAAGTTTCTTTTTTATAGAGTTTTAGAATTTAAAAAAATTAAAAACCTTTGATGCCGCTGGTTTTAAAAAACAAATTTAAAAGTATATACATTTTATATCAGTTTTTATTTACATTAACACAACTATTAAATTTATGTTTGTTAAAAAAAACAGTTTTAAAATAAAACTAGTATTAAAACTAGTAATTAAATATTTTGTTTAAATGTTTTTCAAAGATAGCTCTTGAAGATTTTCTTCATATTGTCAAATTGGTTCGAAAAATAGGCATATTTTATTGAATTTATTTTAGTCAGTTAAAAATTTATCAAAACAGTATTTTTAAAAAATTGTTTTTAGACAGGTGGACACAGATATTGAACATTACCTAAACTCATTTTCTAAAAAGGAAATAAAAGAATACATAAAGGTAATTTGTTTTATTACTAAATTTTTTTACTTAAACATCTTTAATTTTATCATGTATTACATAAGTCCTGTCTTCTTTACTAAAAATTATTTCTAAGTTTTTTTACTTTTTTTTTAAAACTATTTTTGTCATCAACCCTCGGAATTGGGAAAAATGAGGTTAGCAATAATTTGCCGACCTTAATCTCATAGGGATCGACAAAAAAAAGTTCAATACAAAGGTCTTACCATAAAACATAGAAACGAGGTTCGCAATTTTTTTGCCAACCTCTAAACCTCGGAATTAGGTCGGCATTTCCGAATGGCGACCCTAATTCCGAGGTTTTGAGGTTGGCTTTTGGGCTGTGTAAACACAAGTCTATAAAATATTACTTAAGAATGAATGTATTTAAGTAAACATATATAGATTTCATATATGAGTATTTTAAAAGGGGCGGACTTGCTCAAAATCCATTTTTGAGAAAACTAAAAAGAACTCTCTGTATCTTTTTCTTATAAATATACAGGAGTTTTGTAATATTGTTTCTCAAATATGCATGCAAGAATAACATCTTAGTGCAATTTGATAATTTATATAACTTTTTGTTAGTTAAAATAAATGTTTGAAATTTCAAAAAAATTGCCTTCTTAAAAATATTGAGTAAATATTTTAGGAAAAGTCATTTTTCTTATTTTTTTAGTTGGCAAAACAAAGAAAAATGAATGTTAGGTTAACAATACCAATTTCAGCCCTAGTACTGTAGGTTACATATAAATATACATATACATATATATTAGGGCTGTACCGGATTTCAGGTCCGGCTCCTGCTCCGGCCGAAATCCAGCCATTTTTACAAATCTGGCTCAAATCCAGCTCCGGTAAAAAATTAGTAAATCTGGCATAATTTTAGCTGGAGTTGTGAATTTGGGTCAAATATTTATTACATTTTTTTTTTGCCGGTGTTTATACTATACTTAATATTTTATTTATACAAATCATTTTTTTTGTAAATCTATATTTTATGAACTTCATTTTGGTACCTGTATTTATATACCTGTTTGTTTTGGTACCTGTATTTATATTTCTTTACAATTTAATAAGCTTAGCCTAATTTCAAACAATAACGCAACAAAAAATTCTGAAGGAAAGACACGTGATATTCTACAATGATACAGGTGTTAAGAATATGATGTCAACCCTAATCAAGTCATTGAATGAACGTTTTAAAAGCATTGAAAAGAGAAACCTTTTTATATAGTGTCGACACTGGTTGATCCACAATTTAAAACTAAATTCTCCTCAATACATGCAACACTGACAGCTGAAAAATCAAGATTGAAGTCAATCTGAGCATGCTGAGCAGAAGATTGAACCAGCAAAATGAACCAGGCTGGATAATTTTTTCTACGTCATCATCATTACTCTGGCAATTTATTGATAAAAATATTCAGTCTACCTCCGCTGGTGGCACAGCGCATGAACAACAATTACTAAAAGACATTGACACTCAGCTAAGCCAATATTTGGAAGAACCAGAAATAAATAGACACCTGATCCACTTCAGTGGCGGAGTGATAACATCCCGGAAAAAAAGTTTAATAGAATTTTTATAAACTTTTGAAACATAATCTATAGAATTTCTATAGAATGTCTATTAATTTGTATAGAAATTGCTTTAAAACTTTTTTAATAACAACAATGAAGTTTAACAGAAAACAGCTGTCACTTGGTGCTCTGAATAGTCCACATTGTTCTTAACTTCAAGTAGGGATGTACAAGATTTTGGCTCCTGTAATTTTGTTTTGAAATCCGGCTCCGATTCCGGCCGGATCTGTTAGTAGAAATCCGGCAAATCCGGCTTCAGACAGATTTGGAAAAATTAAATCCGGTACAGACCTAATATATATATATATATATATATATATATATATATATATATATATATATATATATATATATATATATATATATATATATATATATATATATATATATATATATATATATATATATATATATATATATATATATATATATATGTACATATATATATATGTATATATATATATATAATATATATATATATATATATATATATATATATATATATGTTCATATATATATATGTATATATATATATAAATATATATATTTATATATATACATATATATATATATATATATATATATATATATTTGTACATATATATATATATATATATATATATATAAATGTATATACATATATATATGTACATATATATATATATATAGCCGGGGCTTGAAAAAAAATTGTAATTCTTTATATGATATAAATTTATATTTACATTTACTATTAGTTTTTGAGGCTCTGATAAAGGTGTAATTGCAAAACCCTATTTTACCCCAGTTTCCCCTGTATATATATATATCGTCGAGAATAGTGCAAATCCGCGTAACTAGCATTGGATAATACCGCGTATCTGACTAATGTAGCCGATTTGAGATTTCGTGGGCAATGCACGCAGGATTCTAATTGGCAGCCACCAATATCGAGGTTACTTTCATTTGACCTATAGAATGCAAGTTGTTGCCCAAGAACAATACTGCGTATCTGGGACCAGTAAATGTCAGTACCACGTATGTGATCGGTTATCATCTGGAGTGTAACTGATATGTTGTTACGTGTTGTCAAATTCAGTTTATAAATGAAAATAATCAACACCATATCAGTTAAGTTTTAGTTTTATTATCTATACAAAAATGTAATAAAGAAAAAACATTTTTTTTTGTTCATTAACTATTTTTTTAAAACTCGTTTTACAAACAAAAACAAAGTGTCTTTTTAAAAAGTTGCCACATTAAGTTTAATCGTTTTTAAAAAAAAAAAACAATGCGCAATCATGTTTTTATAAAGAGAAAAGTGTTTGTTTACATTTTTGGTTGATTAATACTACTTTTTTTTAATTTATTTTTACTATTTATATAATTGCATGACTATACTTTTTGTATAGGATTAGTTTTCCTACTTCTAAATTCAATATGTTGGGAGTCTACTAGTTTTGTTAATATTGGCATTGTAAATAACTTTAAATAAAATTGGCATTTTAAATGATTTTAAATAAAATTGGTATTTAAAAAAATTTTCAGTTTAAACTTCATCTTAACCGTGCTAATGTCATTAGGACGGTTTACCTTCCAAAATTTGTAAGGTAAACATTTTGTTTGTTAGTTTATATAAATGCAATATTTAGTTTAAATTATTACCAAATTATATAAATCATTATGAATATTTTTTCTTTTTTTATATAGCTGATGCATTTGGATTTTTTTAGATTAGATAGATAAAGAGTAAAATGGCGAATAACAGCAAACTCTTGTCTAGAAGATAAAACACATCAATTTATGACATTGAAAGCTTTAAAGAAAATGACTGAAAATTTACCACATTTTACTTCACCAAATGAATTACCAACTTTTGACTTTTCAGTTGATGATTCTTTTGCTGATCCAAATAAAAATCTAATCTCTGAAATAACAAATGTTAAACAGATAGCTTTCACTCAATCAATAGACAGCAATAACGATTTTTTTCATGAAAGAAATTTGGAACCTGAAGTAGCAGTTAAATCTAGGGAAAGGAAACGAAAAGCAAAACAAATGTCTTCAAAAAGATTTAGGAATAAGAATTTGAGAATGCTAGGTCATGAATACACACGTTTTAGAAAGACTTGTGGGGAAAAAGTTTTACCAAACGCTGTAAGACCTGCGCAAAAACTTGGAGAGGCTTGTAAGTCAAACAAATGCTTACAAAGTAATGTGATTAACTGCAAAAAGTTTACAGAAAGTGTAAGATTAGATATTTAAAAAAAATATCTAAACTTACACTTTCTGTAAACTTTTGGGAGATGAGCTGGATAGCCAAGAAAATCTTTGTTTCATCTTTAGTTGATAAAAAATTGAGCAAAAGAAAAACTACTGAAAGGGCAAATACAAGGCAAAGTATTACTAAAGTCTATTATTTAAAGTTAGATTACAACAAAATGAGAGTATGTTTGAAGACGTTTTTAGGAACACTGGGTATTAAAGAGTGGACAGTTAGGTACTGCAAGGAAAAAAATCTAATAGGGATACAACAACAAAATGTAATTATAATGCATGGCCTTGCCATTCTTTGAAAGTGCAAATGTTTTTAAGAGCTATGCTTAAATTGCCTTCTCATTACTGCAGAAAAGAAAGTAAAAAATTGTATCTAGAACCATTAATACAGTCTAAACGTGAGCTCTATCGTATCTATGTTAAAAATGCTACAAAAAATGGACAGAGAGTGGCTTCCAGAAAACTTTTTGAAGATATTTTGAAAGATGAAAACATAGCTATGTTTCAACCAAAGAAAGATGCATGTGATCTATGTTGTTCATATAAAACAGGAAATATTACAGAACAAGAGTATCAACAACATGTATCATGGAAAGATTTAAAAAGCTTTTGACAAAATAGCTGCGAAAAATGGAGCAATTCATGTTATCACTGCTGATTTACAAGCAGTGAAATTATGTCCATACTTGAATGCCAGTGCATTGTATTTTAAAACAAAACTGATGGTTCATAATTTTACAATATACAATCCTGGGACTAATAAAGTAAAGTGTTATTGGTTTGATGAAACAACAACTGATTTAAAGGCATCAACTTATGCATCATTTTTTGTTGATTATTTTAAATAAATTAATTTACTGATGGATGTACATCACAAAATAGAAATGCCATTGTTTTGAACGCACTTCTGCAATTGGCAATGCAAAAAAAAGTAGTCATCACACAAAAATTTTTAGAAAAAGGTCATACTCAAATGGAGGTAAATTCAGTTCATTCCGTAATAGAAAGAAAATTAAAACACCGTGAAATATTTTTACCTAGTCAATACTCTTTAGTTACCAAAGAAGCTAGATGCAATCCATCTTCATATGAGGTAGCAATGGTAGACCATACATTTTTTAAAGATTATAGTATTAAAAGCTACCTTATTTATGATACAATCGGTCCTGGAAGAGGTATTGGAGCAAAATGTGTGGTTGATATCAGAGTTCTAAAATACAATCCCAATGGTACAATAGATTTCAAACTAAGTTATGATGAACAATTTAAACAATTACCACAAAGACCAAAAAAAGTTCAACCTTTGATTCCACCACAACTCTTTACTGAATGATTGCCTCTCAAAATCAAAATATATACCTTTACAACAGTTAAAATTATACCCAAGGATTATCATGAGTTTTATGACAACTTACCTTACAAAAATTTTCTTTTATTCTGTTAAACTATAACTATGATGATGGGTACCATTTTGGTGAATTTGTGTTTAAATCTAATCCGCGTAAAAGTTCTAGCGACTAAATTATCAACTATAACACCCAATAGCTATTATTGACTATAAAAAGAACATTAATAAAACTCTTTATGCCAAAATGAGCTCAAAATCTGTTTAGATAAAAAAAATATACAGTTTTAACCTTCTCCTGTAAAACTATCTACAATGCAGACATGCACTCCCTACCTGTAGTAGATCAGCAGATTCGCACTATCCCCGACGATATATATATATATATATATATATATATATATATATATATATATATATATATATATATATATATATATATATATATATATATATATATATATATATATATATATATATATATATCAACAAAATTAACTTTACATATATACACCAATGAAAATAATTTTTTTTTATTGAATAAATTTTAAAATAAAGTTTATTTGTTTCATATTTATTATTTGTTTTAGCCAGAAGAAAGTTTAAAATATGTTTTAGAAATTCGTCAACGAATTAATGAAAATTCTAAAGCAAAAAAGGTAAATATATCTTTTAAAATATAACAGTCCACCATATAACACTCTAACTTAATCAGTGCAACATGTTTCATTAGAGTGTGCTTTACACCACATATGAATCGTATGCATAAATCATAATCTATATGTATAATCATACCACATTACTGTGTATTATTGTACCACATCACTGAGCATCGCCATTTATATCAGTGTGCATTATTTATTACTCCACATCATATTACCTTAACATTATTAGTGTAGGATTTGTTAAAATATTTAAATTTCTGAAAATTATCTTAGGAGCGTGAGAAACGCAGAAGAAAAGTTTTAATTGAACAATTTAAAATACATCAACTTCAACAGGTTAGTTTTTTGATAACTTATTTATATTTTAATTTATATTTAAAAACTCATTTAAAATTCTTTTTTACTTTATTTATTTTTTATTCTTAACTTAAGTGTTTTGTTTTGAGCACAGCAGGTCTTTTATTACTCTATTTTAAAAAATTTGCTTATAATTATTAATTTTTTAGTTAATTTACTTTTCATAACACCTCAGTGTTATGAAATTTTAGTTGTAAATTAGTACACACAAGCATAAAAAAGTTTTTAAAGGCATCCATAAAAGCAATACTTGTAAATATTTAAGTAAGCTTAATTTTAGCAGGGCAATCAACTCATAAATAGAAAAAAGGTCTTTTTCATTTTTATTTTCATTTCATTCATTTTTAAAATCTTTATCTTTATAATAACTGAATAATAGAAAAATATTTTAAAAAGTATTACATTTTTTCAAAAATCTGTTTGGTATTTACTGTTGTATTCAGTTTTAAGCTTTTTTATAGTGCTACTCTGTGCTCTAGGTGCATAATATGAACTTAATAATTTCAATATTTTAGTTTGAGTAACGTTCTTCTGTGTAGGAATATTTAATTTGTATAAAATTTTATTTAATGTAGAACATACTTGTTGTAAACATGCTACATTTAGTGTGATTTAATTTTAACTGAATCAAATTAGATTATTCACAGAGCTGACAACACAAGTTTTGAAGTAGAGGGGCACAATTGTCTATTTCTAAAAAAGTCTAGATTTTTTTTAAAAAAAGTGGAGGGGAGGGGGCGTGTGCCACCCCAGCACCCCCCATCATCGGTGTTGTTGGCCCTGATTCAAATCAAGATTAATTTATCCCTTATTGAGAAAGCGAAAAAAAAAAAATACATTTTTTGATTCAACTCTTTTTAAGCTTCTTTTACATTTTGTTTCTAGAGCCCTAACTCTTATCAAAGTTATGAAAAGTATTGCATACTTTTGGGAAAGCGGTTGGGAAGCGGGTGCGATCGCACTCCATAATTGACCACGGAAATAATATTTAGTTGCGAAAAACCGGCCAGATTTTTTAGTCGTTTTGAGAACATTTCAAAAACAAATAAAAAAGCGCAATAAGATTAACTGGACGATGAGAGACAGTTAAAAAAAGAAAAATAGCTTTTAACGCGAAAAAACTTTAAGCAAAATAAATTTATTAGAGCAATCATTTTTGAAACGTCGCTCTTTTATAATTTTTTTTATAAAATTAAGCGACATCTTTAATATAAAGTAACAACTATAAAGAAACCAATGTTCTTCGATTTATCAAAGAGTATATATAATTTTTATTTAGATACTTATGTCTTATTTCCAGTTGCAGATTGAGGAGGTGGGGTGTGGGTAGTATGGTAGTATGGGACTCACAGTGTCAGAGGAAATAGTCAAGAGAACCATTCGGTGTTTCTTTTAGTCACTTTTACGCTGTGGCACATAAAAAAGACCGCCAAAATAATGCAGATCCTGGCCAGATTCAACCAGTAAAACTAACGCTAGATGATTTATTTATAAATAAAAAAGTTTTTTCATTATCTTTTTTATGCTTTGCATAATTTAAAAAGTTTAACACATTTGAAACAATTCTTTTTAGTAAGATGAACAAATGAAATAATTAAATCATTGAGTTACTATAGAAATTCAATTAGCTAGAAAGAAATTAACTAAAAACGTTAAATTGCTTTGTGAGGAGGAAGCAGAACTGCCTCCTCACAATACCACTGATGATGTTTAGTCAGTAGGCTACCGCTGATGATGTTTAGTGATGATGATGTTTACCGCTGATGATGTTTAGTCAGTGGGCTTTATAATTTTGATTAGTATTTAAAACAGAAAAAAGTAACTTTAAGTATAACGAGTTTGTAAGAATGGCTGAAGCAAAAATAATTGAAGTTAGTAAACCAATTTTTAGAATTAGGGCACAAAAAACCTGCCAAACCCTTCGTAGATTTGGCAGGTTTTTTGTGTTCGCGAATAATCTTTTATTTTTACGCACTAAGATGTTTGAGTTTATGTATGTTTCCATGTAAGTCCGTAAAACAAAAGATTTTAAAATTTACGATAAAATGAATTTATTATTTTGTGGACAAACAAGGAAACATACATAAACTTAAACGTTCTCAAAACGACTAAAAAGTCTAGCCAGTTTTTTTGCAACTAAATATTATTTCCGTGGTCAGTTATCGAGTGTGATTGCACCCGCTTCCTGACCAAGCCTGATATATATATATATATATATCAGCCTTGATATATATATATATATATATCAGGCATTACTATTAAGCCTGATATATATATATATATATATCAGGAATTACTATTAATAAACCCTAAGCCGTAACACAGGGCTTTGATGTGGCCAAGGCCACATCAAAGCCCTTTGTTACGGCTTAGGGTTTATTAATAGTAATGAGGCAATTGCTTGGGCTATTAAACAGTGTACTGAGTACTATCTATGTTTCCAGTCAAGTTCTTTCACAAATTTAAAAATGAATAAAGTAACAAAAACTATAAAACACAAGAAACCACAGTCACCACCAGGTTCGCTAAACCTATCATTCACTAATAATTGTGGTCTTCGAAGTAACTTTTCTTCTGTTGAGTCTTATCTCTTGCAAAGTTCACCAGACCTACTTGCTCTTTGTGAGACTAATTTGAATTCAGCTGTCTCATCTTGTGATCTTATTGTTGATGGTTATCTTCCTTTAATTCGAAAAGACTCCAATAGTCACATGCTTGGCCTGGGCATTTATCCTAAAAATTCACCCATTTGTCGAGAAACTAGGTTTGAATCCACAGATTACTCTTTTATGTGCTTTCGTTTAGCACCACTTCATTCTATCACCTTTCTCTTTGTTCTATATTGCTCTCCCTCATCTTAAGACTGCACTCCTCTTGATGTTATTTCTGATCATATTGACCAAGCCCTCTCTCTTTATCCATCAGCCAATATTGTTGTTGTCGGTGACTTCAATGTTCATCACACTGAATGGCTTGGCTCTAGTGTCAGTGACTCTGCAGGCATTAAGGCCCTTTTTGCTTTTTTCAATCCCTAACTCAAGTAGTCAACTTTCCAATTCACTTTCCAGATAACCTGAATCATTTACCTTCTTTACTCGACTTATCTCTTGTTTCTGATCCTAGTCAGTGCTCAGTTTCTCCACATTCACCCTTAGGTGCCTCCGATCATGGTTTGGTCTCTCTAAAACTAATATCTCATTATTTTTTATCATCAGAATCCCCGTATCATCGAACATCTTACAACTACCTTAAAGCTGACTGGGACTCTTTCTGTATTTTTCTTCATGATGGTCTTGGGTAGAAATCCTTCGTCTTTCTGTTGACAAATGTACTTCTTACATAACTTCGTGGATTCAGGCTGTCATGATATCCTTTATTCCCTCTTGACGATTCCAGGTCAAGCCTCAGTCTTCTCCATGGTTTTCCTCACATTGTGCTGCTGCAATTGCCAATTGAAACTATTACTTCCATATCGATCAGCAAAACAATTCTCCAGAAAACAGACGTCTTTTTATTACTGCTAGGAACCATTGATAAAAGGTTTTGTTTTAAGCCAAAGCCTGCTATTCTTAGATCATGAAATCTCGTATTTCATCACAAAAGTTAGGCTCTCGTGACTTCTGGAGAATCTTTAATAGTATCAATAATAAGGGCAAGTCTGTAATTCCACCTCTTTTGTATGGTTCAGACTTTTTCACCTTACCTAAAGACAAAGCTGAATTGTTTGCTAAAAACTTTTTATCAATATCATCTCTCGATTCTACTAGCTGTGTTCTACCTGATATAGCTCTCAAACAGGTTGATCCATTGCATGACATTTGTATCACTCCAGCTTCTGTATCTAAAGTGATTTTCTTCTTAGACTCTTCTACAGCTTGTGACCCAGACAACATACCTGTTATAGTCTTGCAGAAGTGTTCTCCGGAGCTGTCATCTATCCTTTCAAAACTATTTAACAAGTGCTTATCAGAGTCTTGTTTTCCAGCCTGCTGGAAAGCAGCATTTCCTTTCAATTTCCTTCCCATTAGTCTTCTTCCTATCATAAGCAAGGTTTTTGAATCTTTAATTAACAAACACTTAATCTCTCATCTTGAAACTAATATCTTACTTTCTGATCATCAATATAGATTTTGATCTTCTCGTTCTACGGCTGATTTGCTAACAGTAATAACCAATAGGTTTTATTGTGCATTAGATAAAGGTGGAGAGGTTAAGGCCATTGCTCTTGATATTTCTAAAGCGCTTGATAAAGTTTGGCATCTTGTCTTCTCTATAAGCTTTCTTCTTGTGGTGTATCTGGAAACATCTTTATGATTATTGAATTGTTTCTTTCCAATCGTAGTATAAAAGTTGTCCTTGATGAACAGCACTCTTCTTCTTATTCTGTAACCTCAGGGGTTCCTCAAGGTTCAATCCTTGGCCTTATACTTTTTTTAATTTACATTAACGATCTTCCAGATATTCTCACAACTAAGGTTGCATTGTTTGCTGATGATACTACCAGTTATTCTTGTCAGGATAAGAAGCCAACTCCCTCTGATTGCTTGCAGGGGGCATTTGAGCTTAAAAAAGGATCTCACTTCTGCTACAGCATGGGGCTCACAGTGGCTGGTGAACTTTAATTCAGATAAAACTCAATTTTTTCAGCCAATCGTTGTGGTAATAATTTAGACCTTCCTATATTTATAAGCAGTAATGCAGGGCTTTGGAGCGGCTCCGGAGCTGGAGCCGGAGCTATCCGGAGCTGGTAATTTTACATGGAGCTGAGGCGGAGCTGGAGCTAAAATTTTTCCTGCTGGAGCAGGCTCCGGAGCCAGCTCCGAGCCAGCTCCAGCCTTTAATATTTTGAAATATCAAAGTTACATAAAGTCATATTTTATATAATGAGATTTTTTTAAAGAAGTTAAACAATTATGTACATATAATTATATATATATATATATATATATACATATATATATATATATATATATATATAT